CATTGAACCACTCCAAGATTAAGCAGATCAATAAATACCCACTGCTTTTCTGCGAATTCTTATCCATTTATATCAAGCAAAATAAATTGATCAAGTTTTATACTAATATATAATATTTATCTATGTATAGCAATATGGTGGAGTGCAGATGCATCAGAGTGACTACTTTGAGAAAGTACTTTTTCTCTTAATTTGTATATTAAGATTGCATATATTAAATATACCAGAACTCTAAATCAATCTAATAATTAAGGCATATGGAATAATAGTGCAAATATTAAAAGAATATACAGGAATTCATTAGAAATTATTCTACTATAAAAATGCATTATAAATTATTTATTATAGAAATTCATTAGAATTATTAATTAAATGCATTGAAACTGATTCATTCTACTGATTAGATTGAGAGGAACAAAGAAAATACTAAAAGCATATAGAGAAATTCATTAGAAATTATTCTACTATAAAAATGGATAACAGAAATTTATTATAGGAATGCATTAGAAATATTTATCAGATATATGCATTAGAAATATTTATCAGATATGTGTGTTAGAAATATTTTTTATAGAAATGCATCAGACATATTTTTTTATAGAAATGCATCAGACATATTTTTTATAGGAATATGTTAGAATTATTTATTAAATATTTTTAAACAGGAGTAGAGGTTTATCCCTTGTTCACCATTTAAGAATGGGTTTCCAATTCCTTCTCAAGTCTTAATTCTCAGTAGTAGCCCCTTGCATCTTAGCATCATTATTGCCTTGATTGGGACAAACTGATTTTTAAAAAATGCATCAAAACGCCAATGATTACATAAAGAGGAACAATGGAAATACTAAAGTTGTATACAGAAATTTACCAGAAATTATTTTATTGTAAAAATGCATTACAAATTATTTATTACTGAGCCAGTTCAGGCCAAAAATGGAGTACTGTTACCATGTTTGGGCATGAGCTGCCAAGATCTCACTTTCCAGTCTTGATAGAGTTCAAAAGCATCTCTGAGTCCTTGCTGGAAGAAGAATTTTTCACACTCTCTCACAAATAGTTGGAAATTATAGTTATCAGGAAAACAAGAAATGGGGAAGGAGTTCCACAGGCGAGAAGTGCAAGACAGGAAGCTATTGGAGTAGAAGAGGCAGCTACATTTAACAGATTCGACAGTGAAAGTGTGAAAGTGAGATGCCAGAATTCAATTTAATTCTAATAATTGACATTTTCAGCTCTTGTTTTTGAAACTTGAGAACTCTTATGTCATGGAGGAATCATATTTTTAAATAAATAATTATAATATATATATATATATATATATATATATATATGTGTGTGTGTGCATGTATGTATATATATATATATATATATATATATATATATATATATATATATATATATGTTAGTGGGATCTTGTGTAAAAGCTCCCCCTGTCTATAAAATAATGGGCATGTGTCTCAAATCGCCTCTGACAACAAAGTTCAGCTCAAAGACAGAAAATGGGTAAAAGCAGAAAACCTATACCTTACAACCAGGAGCTTTGGGCAGATGGAGCTCATCAGCCCAGGGAGGTATCCCATTTAGGGGATCAAAAACCCTGATTTTGAGCTTCTGCTGCCTTGTGATCATATCCAAAATACAGAAGTCTATGGAAGTGAAGCCAAAAAGTAAATCAGGAGTGGAGCCCTGAAGGCAGTTGGCTGTCAACATTGACAATTTTCTGGCAACACTTGCAGCCAAGCTGCCCCCAAATGTAATGCCTTGTATTCCTGTGGATCTTGTCGGTATGGACGAGAGGGTAGTGAATGTAGTCTGGGTAGTGCATGGAGAAGAAAAACTGCCGCCTTGTAGGTCCTGTCTCTTTAACTTCTGAGAAGAGAGACAGTGTAATCGCAATATCCCCAGTGCAACAGGAAACTATGAACCATTGCTCTATTCTGACTTGAATGTCATCATGAACCACAGTTGTGAGATGGAGGGGAGTGGTGACCTCAGCGGTGGTGCAAAATGCGCTAACCGAATAAGTGATATACAGAGTGCAACAAAAGTAATGCCCTTTTCTTTTTTATTTATTAAATATTATTATAGTAGTTTAAGATGGCTTCAAATTAACTATGGCTTACAGGTTTGGAAATTGTTGAAACTTAATTCTGGGCTGTGATGGATAGGACAACATGGAGCAATTGAGTGGCCATCATGATCAGCAGACCTAACACTATCACACTTTTTCTTGTAGGAGTGTACTGAATGATTTTGATTAAAGGCTCAAACCAAAAATAATCCCTGGATTACAAAAAGCAAGTTCTGACAAACTTTTTAAAATTAATGTAGAAGTGTTGTTGATAGGATCCAGCTGTTTATGGAACATAAAGGGGTGCATTTTGAACATGTTAAATAGTTTGTTAATCATAACAAATTATATTTTTTTCATGTGACAATACTTATAAATTTTCTTAAATTACTGTAATTTATTTTTGTTCAATAAAAGTTAATTAAAAATAGGGCATTACTTTTGATGCATCCAATATATATATATATATATATATATATTTTTTTTTTTTTTTTTAAAGAAAAACAGACCATTTTAAGATTCCATTATAATAATTTATTTCACCAGAGCCCTTTTAAGGGATGCTGGATCATCAGATAATACTTCCAAAATATGAAACAAAAGATGAAATGAAAATCAATCATACTTAGTATATATATTAACGGAAGTGATATATTGAAATTCCATTTCAATATATCACTTCCATTAAGTTAACCATTTAAATAGGTCAAGGTCTGGTCCCTCCTCCCCCAATACTAAGTATTATTGAAAGAAATATTAAAATAAACCCTCTCTAAACTCAACCATGTCTCTCACACCACTCCATGTTACCCTCTCTGTTAAATTACATAAACTTAATATTACCCGTCAAAAGTGTGAATTTTCTTTTCATCTTTCATTTCATTTTTTGGAAGTGTTATCTGATGATCCAGCATCCCTTAAAAGGGCTCTGGTGAAATAAATTATTATAATGGAACCTTAAAGTGGTCTGTTTTTCTTTAAATTATTAGCTCTGGATTTACATTGAGCTCTCAGGATTTCATCCTCCTTGGGACTACCCATACGGATTACCAAGTTTTTCATAACTTAACTTATATATATATATATATATACACACACACACACACTGTGTATTTAAGCAGCAATCCTTCTTTTATACAACTTCCATTAAAGATGACTGAGAAGGTACTGCCATTTAGCTTTTCATTTAATTTTTCTTGTGTTCGTGCAAGTGTTTTTTTTGGGACTCAAAGTCTGTAAAAACTTTCCAAATGTTCAGTATTTCCAAGAACTTTTCGTTATACTTTTAGCCATTACCAAGGATGATTTTATTTTTACTTTTTAACTATGTATGGGTTGTGCGTATATATATATATATATATATATATATATATACATCTATCGGGATGTTTTGTTTTCCAAACACAGCCATCACATTGTCACCATGTTCGTAGTTAATGTCACTGAGTGATGGCTTTTTTTTTTATTATTATTTTTAATTTTTTTTCATGTAGATGAGGTTATTATACTTATTATACTTGTATTTTCTACTAGTATGTTTTGAATGGTAGCTGGTAGGTTTGTGCATGTATTTAAATGAGTTCTAATGGAGTTATAATATTACAAACATTATGTTTGATTATTTGTATCATAATCCTTTCATATTCAAATATTTTTCTGTATATTACAATTAAGTAAGGTAAAAAATTATCTAATTGTAATATACAGAAAAATATTCATGAATATGGAAGGATTATGATAAAAATAAGCAGGCATAATATTTGTAATTTATTTAATCAGACAAGAGAATTTACTGCCTAAATACACACCCTCACAGACACACACAAATATATATATATATATATATATATAAGCAAGTGTAAATGGATATAGATCCGACAGAATGAAGAAAAATTTTTGAAAAACAAACAAAATCCTTAAATGTAGTTAAAATGAAAGAAATGTCGACGTCTGACAAAAAAAAAAAAAAAAAATTTTTAAATTTTCAGTTATCTGTTCTGAATAAGACTTGTGTTTTTATGTCCATCGTATTTGTCATATTGAACTGAATTGTATTTTGATGAATATTGTCTTGAAAAAAGGTTTATTAAACCCGAAACATCAGACGTCGACATTTCTTTCATTTTAACTACATTTAAGGATTTTGTTTGTTTTTTCAAAATTTTTCTTCATATATATATATATATATATATATATATATATATATATATAGAGAGAGAGAGAGAGAGAGAGAGAGAGATATCTCATTTCAAATGTTATTATAGCGTATACTTTTGTATTTTTAAACAAACACATGATTCTTATGTGCGAAATAGTGTGTATTACTTCTATCAGCCTGTATGTTCAAGACATTGTTGTAAAGGAAAATGCATTCCTTAGCAGGAAACTGTGTCCTCCATTTTAGGGAAAGGCCCAGTCTGCTTCAGTGTACTTCCTTGCTCAGCCACAAAGAACATCACAGCAAGCAAGAATCTGTTTTCCTTTTCTTAAGGAAAGCACATCTTCTTCACTCAGATTATTTACCTCAGTTTATAAATTGACTAAAATTAATATTATGTGCCTGCAAAAGGATCTTTGTGCAGGACATCACTGTTATCAGAGAAAAGAAAATGTTTATAGAAACGCAGTTCAAGAGGAACACCAAAACGCTTTGCACAGTGAAAAGCTTGATTCAAGGGCGTAGTGCACACTTCGTGAAACGCTTGGTTCAAAGAGGGGCGGTGCACACCATATACTTGGCTTCGATTCAAGGGCGTAGTGCACAAAATTTTTCAATATCCGTTCAATTTCAAGGGCCGGTGCACACTCCGTGATACGCTTTCGATTCAAGAGGGGCGGTGCACACTCCATGAAACGCTGTTCAAAGGGGGCCGGTGCACAAAACGCTCGATTCAAAGAAGCACTCCGTATAATATTCAAAAAGGGCCCAATGCACACCGTGAGCATTCGATTCAAGAAAACAAAAAAAAAAAAACATCGATTCAAAGAATCGGTGCACAATTTTCCGAAAAGCTCGATTCAAAGTGCACCCTCCGTGAAAGCGCTTATTCAAGAGGACGGTGCACCCTCCGTGAAACGCTCGATTCAAGAGGACGGTGCACCCTCCGTGAAACGCTCGATTCAGAAGGTTTTTCGATTCAAGAGGACGGTGCAAAAAATTCAATAGGGCGGTGCACCCTCCATTGAAGCGCTTCCATTGCAGCGCTTCGATTCAAGAGTGCACCCTCCGTGTGCTTCGATTCAAGGGCGGTGCACCCTCCATTTAAGCCTTCGATTCAAGAGGACGGTGCACACTCCGGAAATTCAAGGGGCCCGGTGCACATTCCGTCAACGTCGATTCAAAGAAAATATGCACACTCCATTGAAACGCTTCGATTCAAGAGGACGGTGCACCTCCGTGAAACGCTTTCGATTCAAGAGGACGGTGCACCTCCGTGAAACGCGCTTATTCAAGGACGGTGCACCTCCGTTAAACGCTCGATTTAAGAGGACGGTGCACCCTCCAAACAAATCGATTCAAGAAGGGCGGTGCACACTCCGTGAAACGCTCGATTCAAGAGGACGGTGCACCCTCCGTGAAACGCTCGATTCAAGAGGACGGTGCACCCTCCGTGAAACGCTCGATTCAAGAGGACGGTGCACCCTCCGTGAAACGCTCGATTCAAAACACTCCATTGGCCCTTCGATTCAAGGGATAGTGGACACTTCATTATATGGCTGTAGAATCTTCCAAAGTCAATTGTCAATGAAGTTACCCAAAAGAAGTTGGGATATTAAAAAGTCACGGAATTTTCAGCCCTAGAAGAACTTGCTCAAATATGGATCCCAAAAAATTATCTTTGCTATTTTTTACTATTAACCACCCAACACAAAGCACAAGAGCTACTCAAGATAGATGGTTATTTAATGAGATCATTTTAAGTGTGTAAAAGAAGGAGGGAGGAAGAGGAGTATAAGGAGGATAGATATCAGTTGACCCTAGATTCAAAGAAGTTAAAACTGTAGAGGTAGGGAAAGCATCCTCTCAGGACTCAGTTCTATAAAGTAGCAGTTCTTGAAAAGAAGCTGTGAAACTTCCTCCTTACTAATGGAATACAAATGGAATGAGGATGATTTGGCACTAAGTATGTGGAATGGTAGTCCTACCTGGGAAGTCAGACCTGCTGGAACTTAGAAATGTAGCTTGTTAGAACATTTGCTATAGTATATGATAGGCAGCGTCCTAGGTAAGACATTATACTACATCCGCGTCCTGGGTAAGACGTTAATCTACGTCCAGCAGCAAGGCCACTGATCATGAGGTTTTGAGGAGCGTGGAACTACCTCTTAATTTCTGGTGTTCCTAGGTCCACCCTGACCCAGGGTGGTAGCACCTGCTAGGGTCCCAGCTATGGGAAAATAGTTAACTATTACCAGCAATACGTTTTTGAAAAAAATTATTACCAACAATACAATTTTGAAGGAAATATATTACCAGAAACAGATTTTGACAAAACAAAATATTACCAGCAATAAAAAATTTTGTCAGCATTAAATAACCCATTGAGGTTGATATGCTGTTAAACAAAATAAACCAAACCAATCTAAACCAAAGAATACATACTCTATTCATACGAATCTATCCAAAAATGTCTGCATTAAATAACCCATTGAGGTTGATATGCCGTTAAACAAAATAAACCAAACCAATCTAAACCAAAGAATACATACTCTATTCATACAAATCTATCCTAAAAATGTTGTCTGCATTAAATAACCCATTGAGGTTGATATGCCGTTAAACAAAATAAACCAAACCAATCTAAACCAAAGAATACATATTCTATTCACCTATCCTAAAAATGTTGTCTGCATTAAATAACCCATTGAGGTTGATATGCCGTTAAACAAAATAAACCAAACCAATCTAAACCAAAGAATACATACTCTATTCATACAAATCTATCCTAAAAATGTTGTCTGCATTAAATAACCTATTGAGGTTGATATGCCGTTAAACAAAATAAACCAAACCAAACGATAGACAAGCAATGTTTTATCTGTGGGAAAGGGACAGCAGGTTGGAAAATAATTCATTACCTATGAGGCGGCGTAATTGCTTTTGAACTCTGTTGAGGCTGGAAAGTGAGGGCTGGGCAGCATCAGCCTAGATATGGCAGCAATACTGCATTCTGACTCTGTAAAGATGGTTAGAGACCAGCAGTGGAGGTTAGAGACTTCCTGAAGTGACATAAAGAACCAAAAATTCTTCCAACATCTTTAGTGAGGGTCCAAATACAGGCTGTCCCAGTGTTAACTATCTATTTCAGCGAAAATGAACATTTTTTTAACTTGCCTTTATTTCAGCTCATCATGTTTAATATGTGTTAGAAATATATAAATTTCTAATTTTATTTCTAAGTTTATAATTTTTCTAATTTTTTATTCTAATCTTATTGTCATTCCCTTTCAGAACCCTATTAATAATGAATAGACAAGAATGCAACTTTGTTGACCCCTCTGGATTTCTTTGCATGGGGTTTCATAAAAACAAAGGTTTATTGCTAAAAGATCAATAGTTTAGCTGAGCGTAAAGAATGCATTCAGTTCGCAGATCAGGAGACAACTCTTAAAATGATCCAAAATTTGTTCCATGATTCTAAGGATAGATTTGAAATTTGCAGTGACACAGACAAATTGAAAATTTTCAATAAAGTTTTGATGTGAGATTTATAAATTTTTTTTTTGTTTCATATTTAAGTAATAAATATAAAATTGCGTCAGTTTTTTAAAAAATTTGCCTGATTTCATTGAAATAGTTAATTCTATGACACCATGTATTTTATGTCTTCATATTAATCAGCATTGTACACTCTTCAAGCAGGTATGATTTCACTGAAATAGTTCATTCTGGGGACACTGTATTTCATGTCTTCATATTAATCAGCATTGTACACTCTTCAAGCAGGTATGAATTAATTAAAATAGTTAATTCTGCCACACCCTGTATATAAGTTTCAATCGAGGTCACAAGCTTTAGTCTCAATAGATAAAGAGCAAAGAGTCACATCTAGATTACAACCACTCATCAAGACTGGAGCAAATTTATAGTCCGTGTGGTGGTGATGAAACATTTTCTGTTTTTGGAGTCACATAAAACAGCTGGTGGGAACTTTCTGGAGCACAAAATCAAGGGTGATGCAATCTAGGTGATGAGATCTGAAGCTTGATTTCATAAGTGATAAGCTTTCATTCACTGATTCGACAAAATTCTGGGAGGCAGAAGGCATGCTCCTTGTATTCTAACATACTGCAGGGTCAGGCAGTTAACACTGTTATATTCCATGCTCAGGGAATAAATAATTAACACCAGGTGGATACTAGAAGAAAGATTTATTGTACACAACAAGTACAATATGAAATACGGTACAGTTATACACATAGGTCAATCTAGTAGTGAGTGCCACTAATTGGAAGATCGAACATGCTTGTATCATCTCGCTCTCACTCTTCCTCGAGTCTCTTGTAGACAGTTGACTTTATAGGTACTTACTACCTATAGTGTAATCATTCATGGGGGTGACTGGTTATTCCATTATATCACACAGACACTGTGAAACACTGGATGAACTGAAGGAAGCCTTTTTTCAAAAGAAACAAGGACATTCATACAACAATGTTGCCCTTCAATGTAACCTGGACAATCTGACAACAGAGTAGCCGTTATGATATGGTTGGCGTATTTTACAGCCTTTGTAATCAGGTAAGGCATTAAAATGAATTAATGAAATTAATTAAAACAGATCAGACAGATCATAAAAAAATTTGCATTGGGCACAGATGGACGAGAAAAAGAACCAATTAAGAATTTTAATTAGAATTCATAAGGGAATGGTTGAAACAGAAGTGATAGTATAATGAAGTTTTATGGACACGACAACATTTATAAGTTTGCCATTTGTTCATGCATTGAATATTACTACCACATCTAGTCTGGTGCTTCAGCTATCTATTCAGAGATTCTTGATAAAATCCAAAGAAGAATCTGTAATGTTATCGATCCTGACCTGGCATCTCACCATCAGTCACTTCCCACCATCATAACATAACTTCCCTGCACCTTTTCTGTAAATACTTTCATGGTAGTTGTTCTGATGAACTCTCCTCTCTGGTACCTAGATTCTTTGAATTTAAGCACAATACTAAATTGGCAGCAAGATCTCGTCATTTTACAGTTGAGATGACTAGATGTAACCATAAGTTCTATGCTAACAGTTTCTTCTCTCACATTTCTCACTGGTGGAACTCTCTCTCCCAGCTTCTTGGTTCCCAGTCACGTCTGATCTTCCAGAATTATTATCTACTGTCCTCTCAAATTCTGTTCTTTTATTGTCCATGTTCCTTAATATTATTTTTTTATATTCTTTCATGTTTAGTAACCGCCTGCATGTTAGGGGCTGTGTTGCCTTGTCTGGGGTGAAATGATTACAAAAAATGACAGAACAATAAACCCACCCTAACATTCCTGCAGTCTCATAAAGGATGCTGTACCTTGTCCTAGACGCAGAATGTCGAGTAGGTCTCTAGCTGACCTGAAAAGTCATTGAAAGCACAAACACTTTTTTTCTTTGGCGCCCAGACTTGATGAATTTAAGTGCTGCACTAAATTGGCACCAAGGTCCCATAATTTTACAATTGAAATGGCTAGATGTACAGTTCTAGTTTGTGGAGCTCTCTTCTGGCTTTTCACTTTTCAGTGAACTTTGATCTCCAAAAATTTAAATGTAATGTCAATTGTTATATTTGTTTTTCTTAATTTCTGTTCATTTATTGTTCTCCCTCCTTAATAATGTTTTGCCTTTCTCATAATCTCACACACTGAGTAACCCCTTGCATTTCAGTGGCTTTATTATCTTGCTTGGGAATGTTTTTCCAATCACAACAATCTTAACCTATTCAAGTCTACAGTCAACTGTTGTATTTCCTAGATGTCCTCATAATCAGCACTGCTTATCTCCCCCTCGTACATTCATACAACAAACTCATTCAATAATGCTCTTCCATAAGTGGTTGCTGAAAAGATTCAGTCTATTGATTATATAAACACTGCAATGTATTGAATACTAAAAGCATATATAGGAAGTAAGCAGAGGCCAGGATTTCCATAATATAGGAAGTAAGCAGAGGCCAACATTTTCATAATACATTGACTTTCATTCCCTCTAAGGATCCTATATATATATATGTGACATAGCAAATACTAAAAGCATATATATAATGTAAGCAGAGGCCAACATTTCCATAATACATTGACTTTCATTCCCTCTAATGATTCTATATACATAATGACATTGCAAATACTAAAAGAAGAGGAAGTATCATTGTACCTTTAATGCATAAAATTATTGTCTATTCATCTCCAGAATTTGTCTAATAAAATTGACATGTAGCTGTAGAGGTTCAACATGAATTTTTTATGAGTATGTAACAAACTTTTTTCTTCTTCCCCTTGGGTGAAGTGCTTATATATCTACCTATTATTCAGTTATGCTGCATGGGCACATTCTCAGGACAGCTGGATAGACCACCTATTTACATGTTGGAGACAACCAATGTTATCTAGTGAAGGCAGAAAGATGTACAAGGTTATTTTCAGGAAAACCCACTGATGCATCTGTCTTCTCTTGTTCTCTGATATAACATTAAGTGAAGTTCAAAGTACATATTGGGACCACTGCAACTTCTCTTAAAACAAAGGTTTCTTATTGACACAAAATTTAATTCAGACCATCTGGTATTTCCTGGCATGAACTATATATAAGT